CTCCAAGATAGAGGACAAGAATTAGAGTGGAAAGAAAGGTTGAATGAAGTCCCAAAAGTCCTTGGGAAGTGACCAAGAGACTGAATGAGAAACTGAAATTTTTCATAGCAATTCCTAGAGCTTAATAACAAGGATCTAGATATGATGATACAGATAAATGGAATGAACCTCAAAAGAAGAAAGGTTGCTGAGTGAGGAGGGCTAAAGGAGGGTGACTCCTTCCCCTGTTCTGGTGTGTTGGAGGGCATGAGAGATTAGATGTGGGGCATGAGAGCATCCAGCATTGAACATCCATAGCCACCTCAGCTCTTAGTTTTTCTGGCTTCCTTCAAGGTCCAACCTAAATCCCATCTTCTGCAGGAGACCTTTCCTAGTCCTCAGAGCTGCTAGTGACTTCCCCTCTGACACTGCCTTCATCGCTCTGTATGTATCCTCTACGTACTTGATTATTTGCATGTTGACTCCTCGTTGGAAAGGATGGTCTTTGAGGGCAGGGGCTGTCTTCGACTTTCTTTGCATCTGTGTTGCTTAGTATAGTGCCTGGTAGATGGTGTCAATTGACCAAACAATTATTAATTATTTATAAAGGGACCACTATATGCCAGGCACTGTGCTAGGTGCTAGCAATTCAGGTGCAAAGAATGAAACAGTCTGTACTCCTAATGAGCTTACATTAGAATGGAGAAGATGAGAACATATACAAATATAAACAGGATAAATGTAAAGTGAATAAATAACAAATACAAAGTGGTTCGATACATCATTATTTGGGAAGCAGGGCACTTGCGTTGGGGGGATTAGGAAAGGTTTTATGCTAAACATAATACCTGAGCTGAATCTTAAAGAAATAAAGGGACTCTGAGGCAGAGGTTAGGAAGAAGTGAATTCCAGGTATGGAGGATGGCCAGTTCAAGTAAAGTAAGTGCTCAATAAATGTTTTGGGTTTTTTTTTTTTGGATTAGGCAGTGGGGTTGTGACTTACCCAGAGTCACACAGCTAGTGAGTGTTATATGTCTGAGGCTGGATTTGAACTCAGGTCCTCCTGAATCCAGGGCCGGTACTCTATCCACTTTGCTATCTAGCTGCCCCTCAATAAATGTTTCTTGACTGACTGACTGGAAGGGTGGCAAGGGATGAAATGTCTCCTGAAAAATGAGGAATCCAATGTCACATGGTGACATAGAGGTGACCAGGTATTATCAAAGTCAGCAGTACACCAGTTCTGGAATGTCATATAAAGCTAGAAAAGTCTGAAGGACAGTTCAGATGGTTTTCTGAGGATCAGCTAAAGTTCAGAAGTCAAAGGGACTCATCACCAGAAGGCTGGCCCACCGTGTAATGAATTATTTTGGCCTCCAGCATTCTTGAACAGCCACTGCTTAAGCATATAGAGGTTGAGATCTATGTCAGTGCAGTTATTAACTTCACCTATGAAATAATGGAACATTTTAAGTATTTGGAAAACAGAAGACAAAGTATTGCTTTTATATGTGGCTGGATGTGTCAATTAAGTATTTACTGTAAAAACATCAACTGATTATATTAGTTCATAAATGATTTTTTAATATTTTAAATCTATTTGAAAGAGAAATTTTTTTGGAAAGTACTTTTTTACACCACTTTATACATCTTAATAGGAGTCTGGAAATTCAGAACCTAATCTGACACTAACAAACTGTGTAACCTTGAGCAAATTTTATGACATTTTGGAGCTGCAGTTTCATCACCTGAAAAAAGATGAGGTTAGACTAAATGAGTTCTAACCCTTTTTCCTAAAAAAACAAAAAACAACAAAATTGAGACCTGAATTGATTGAATTATAGATTTAGACCTGGAAATTTCTTAGAGGCCATTGTGTTTGTGTTACCGAAAGTTATTCATTTAATAAGCCTCTGAGGTGGGATGTGAACCCAGGTCCTTTGACTCTAGGGTCCAATTATCTTTCCAAATATTAGTAAAATTTTCCATGTTGGCATAATAACTACGTCAGATGTAGAATTAGGATTTTAACTCCCAGCTTTTGATTTGTGGCTCCAGGATTGACCTATCAGGCCATTCTTCTCTTAGATATGGAATACCTAAGTTCATGGCCTATAAAGTGGGAAATGTAATATTCCAAATCCAACAAGATAAAATTGCCATACCAAACAAATAAAAATTAATCAATCTGCCAGATAACATAGCAAAGGCTATTTACATTCCTTATTTCCACTTCCTGGCCTCTCATTTCTCAGTCCTTTGCAACTTGGGTTCCAACTTCCTCAACTGAAACTGCTCTCCAAAGTTACCAGTGATCTCTTAACTTTTTTTAGTTGGCCTTTATCCTTTACTTCTCTTCAGCATTTGAGACTATTGACTACCTTCTTCTCATACCTCTCTGGCTATTTCTTGTTAGCCTCCTTTGCTGGATAATTAACCATATCATGCCTCCTAACTGTTTCTATAAACCAAAGTTCTGCCATTGCCCCTCTTCTCTTCTTTCTTTTATTCTCCTCCTGGGTGATCTCATTAGCTCACATGAATTTAATTGTCTCTATGCTGGTGGTTTACACACACACACACACACACACACACACACACACACACACACTCTCTCTCTCTCTCTCTCTCTCTCTCTCTCTCTCTCTCTCTCTCTCTCTCTCTCTCTCTCTCTCTCTCTGTCTATCTCTTTCCTGAACTCTACTCCTACATCAACAACTGCTTATTCTACATTTTGTACTGGATTACCAATCACACACAAATGTTTATTAAGGATTTAAAATGTGCCGGGCACTGTGCTAAGTGCAGGAGCTACAGAAAAAAATGTTTTGCAAGGCATCTCAAACTCATTATCTTGTTATCTATCCCCCAAGACTCATGCCTCTTCTGAATTTCTGAGGGTATCACTGCCCTTCCATTTACTTAGTTTTATAATCTTAGTATCATGTTTGACTTCTCCATCTCACCCGATTCACCAATCAGTTGCTAAATCTTTTCATTTCTACCTCCACAACATCTCTCCCATATGCACCCTCCTCTCCATTCACACAGCTTAGGCCTTTATTACCTGGGATATAGCCTACCAAGAGGTGTCCTTGCCTCATTTCTTCCTAGTTCAGTCTGTAATCCACGTAGCTGTCACACTATATTTCCTAAAGTACATGTCACTTTCCTATTTGATGAACCACAGTGGCTCCCTATTACCTCTGGGGGCAAAATGTAATCTCACTTAAAAGTTTTTATGATCTGCCACATTCTACTTCCACTGTTACTACATATTATTCCCCTTCGCACATATACTGTCCACTCACACAGCACTTCATATCCCATATTGGCTGTTTTCATACCTAGAATGCCCTTCCTCCTTACCTCTGTGTCCTAGAATCCCCAATTTGCTTTAAATTTCAGCTCACATACCAACATCGCCCCAGATGTTGATGCCATCCCTTTCCCATATATAACCTTTATTCTATTTTGTATCTACTTACATGTACATACTGTCACTTCCAGCTAGATTGTGAGCTTATCACGGGCAGAAACTATTATGCTTTTGACTTTGTATCCACAGAGCTTAGCACCATGCCTGACATATACTAGGGACTTAACAAATGTTTATTGATTAATTAATTTGTTTATCTAGAGGACTTGTGATACAGCATCAGTGAAACTATGTCTGTAATGTGAGCAAAATAATTAACACAAATTATTACAGCTTCTTACAGGAATAGAGCATTATAATCATGAAGGCTGGCTTGACATTTTTGGTTATTGAAAAGAATTCCTTCTTTGTGAATTGAAGGTGAAGGGCTTATTGGCCGTTGGTTTACATTTGTGACCAAGGAAGAAAAGAACAGTTGAGGGTTTCTAACTCCTTGAAAGAGAAAAAAAGAATCTGGGCAAATGAAGACAGGTTTGTTCCTATTTCTAAGGCTCCTCTTCAAGGCATAGCAAATGCCCAGTAAAAGGCACTTTTCAACTGCATCCCCTTATTGTGTAAACATTGAATTTGTATAACTTTAGAGTACCAGAGAAAATGAGAATCCTGAAGTTCTGAAAAAAGGTAAATGAATTTTGGGTCCAAATTAAAAGAATTATTTCAATAAAGCCAAAATAATTTCTTTGATGGAGAACTCTGAACTATTAAAAAAAATTCCCATTGAATGTAAATGAAACTAGCTCTACAGTGGAAGGCAGCATGATAGAGAATGGTGATTAATAGTCTAGGTGTGATGATAATTTATTTGGAACTTTGTATTATCTTCTTTCTAAACCCTACAAATTGCTAATTAATACAAAGCATTTAGGTATTTAAATACCATCCTTGTGAGATAAGTAGCAGATCCCAATCTCTGCATTTACAGGTAGGGAACTTGAAACAGGAGTGTAGTTTCTCTTGGTTGACATGATTAAAAGGAGCATTGGACTAAAACCAGAGCCCTGGCTTCCTCTCAAATACCCTGCCAAACATGACCTCCTCTTACACTAATCTAACTTTTTCTGCTTATTTTTCTTCATGGCTTTGTAAACTGGGTCATTGCAGTACAGTATGGGTCCTGAAAATTTGCTTCTGTAAAATACTGACTATAAAGATTATGGAGGAGTATGTAGGAGGAGGGGCAGAGAGAACTAGGAATAGGAGCCTTCAGGATGAATGGTGTCACTAGGTGCAAGGGTTCATTGTTTAGGATAGTCCCACAAGATATTTGTCCCAGACCACTAGGAGTGAGCACAGTCCTAAAACTGAAAGAAATGACCTTAATTACAGACTTGCCTTCAGACTAGGTTGTAAAATGAACCTGGATTACGTCAAAGAGCCTGGGGAAAGTCATGGGAACTGTGTCATGGGGAAGATGCCAAAGCTATTCCATTTAAGGAATAAGCAGAGAGTTGGGGGAGGCAGACCTTAAGAAAGCATGAGAAGTGGGATGTTTTTGCAGTGATCCCTGGTGACACTGTAAATATTTTTTCAGGTCTGATTTTTTTCCAACTGTTTCCTCTCATTTTCTTTCTTTGTTTTACAGTGGATGGAACTGAGGTTCAACACTCTAGCAAAATGCCCACACTGCAAAAAAATGTAAGTTCTTTACTAGTGGAAGACTCTGGGAAATGAAATACTTCAGACCAATTGGAAAAGCTCAGAATTGTCGCTTTAGGGAGATACTGATTACAGATAGATGGGAGGATGTCCCTAGTGCTTTGAAACCTAGAAAAACTTGCAGGAATACACCTTTAAACTTAATTAATGTATTCTGATGTGAATTTTAAGTGACTTGATTTGATCATCATTCTCTGAGGGTGTAATCAATTTCAGTTAAAAAAAAGAATTTAAATAATCTACAGTAACCTAGTTGGGACTTTTTTAATGATCTTGGAGATATGCCATATTTTGAAATAAGCCAGACTTTATCCTGAAAGGTGCTAGGATTTGGGAGAAAAGCAAAGTTGTTTTATGAAGTATTCTATAGAACATTGCTAGTTTCTGTCACCTTTCTCCTCTTCCATATTTATATTGTCATTATGAGATAGAGACTTTATGTAGGCTGTATGTTCATATTCACAAAATTTGTAAACTACTTTTTCTTGTGAAATTACCAATGATTATATCAATCTTTGGGAATGGATATCAAACAAAAAACAGCTAGCATTTATTAAGTGCCTACTGTGTGCTAAAAGTGGGGGATACAAACACAAAAATAAAACAGTCTTACCGTTCAAGGAGCTTATGTTCTATCAGAGTAAACACCTGAAAACATATGTTTATTCTAAGAAATGCAAAGTAAATTTGGGGAAGGAGGGCACTAGAAGCTGGAGGGATCCAGAAAGATTTTGTATTATAGGTGTCACTTGAGCAGAGATTTGAAGGAAACATGGGAATCTAAGAGCCAGGAGTGAAGTAGGAAGATGTTCATTGGAAGGCCTCGTATGATGGGAAGCTCACTACCTTTATAGGTATTGCATTGTACTTGTGGACGGCTCTAATTGATGGAAACATTTTCTTCAATTTACATGTAGTGGTCTATTTGATTTTTACACATTGTTGATTGGTTCTACCCTTTGGAACCAAGTAAAACAACTCTCATCTCTCTTCCATGTGGAATCTCTTCAGATATGTGTAGATTGCTAGTAAGTTCCTGTCTTTCACAAATTCTTCCCTTTCCCAGGCTTCAATGAACAATGTTATAGTAGTTTTTCTAAATAACAACCACCACCACCACGACAGTAAGAATGTCAGTATTACCTCATTTGATCCTCTCAATGACCCTGGGAGGTAGGTGCTATTATTATTCCCACTTTGCAGTTGAAGAAATTGAAGAAAACAGAAGTTAAGTGACCTGTCCAAGATCATACAAGTTAATGCATACCTGAGCCTGGATTTGAATTCAGGTCTTCCTGACTCTAGGTCTAGCACTCTGTCTACTACACCAGTTGGTCAAACTCAAATAAAAATGACTAATCTATACATAAGGATCCCTGCACCCTGCTTATTGACTTAGTTTTAAAATGTAATATTGCCTATGTTTTATTGCATTTTTATTTTGTTAAATATTTCCCAGTTACATTTTAATCTGTTTCAAGCCGAACTTGGGATGTTTCCAGCCACGTGTTTGATGCCGCTGCACTGTGCCACCTAGCTGCCTCCATTTCCTCAATTCTATTTTCTCCTTCATCTCCTGATTTCTCTTCTATCTCTAACACTGTTTTCTCAAAGATCAAGAATGACCTTTTCATTGTCAAATCCAGTGATCTTTCTCCAATATTTATTCTCCTTGACTTTTCTTAACAGCCTTTGATACTGATGTCTATAATATCCTCTTCCCTATGTGTCCCTTTTGAAAATCTAAACTTCCTTAGTTTCTATAATTTATCACTCTGCTGATTCTTCTCCTTTTACTTGACTGACAATTCTCTTAGCCCTTTGATAGCTAGCCATTGGAAGAGCACTGGACTTGAAGTCAGAATATCTGGGTTTGTATCCCAACTTTGTCACTACCTGTATGACTTTGAGCTAGTCACGTAACCCTTGTTGGATTCAATTTCATCATCCATAAAATGAAGGAGTTGGATTAGATGTCTTTGAAAGTCCTTTCCAGCTTGGAGTAGATAGTCTCATGATTGTCTTCTCTTATATAAAAATGTGTCTATTCCACAAAATTCAAGATCATACCCCTGCTTTCCTGTCTCTATTTTTCTCCCTTAAAGATTATGTACCTTCTTATCAAAATACCCCAGGTGTAGCTTATCTGTATGTGAAAAGCCAAGTTTACTATGAGAGAATACGAGATGATTATATACAATAGACAAGTGTAATGTGAATTAATTTGGATTTCACAGACTGTATATCTGTGTATCTATCACATATGTGAATCAAGGACCTTGTCCCTAAAACTTCATTGCGCCTATTTGATTCCTAATAATTTCTGAGTCAGGGGATGAATTGTCTTCATTCTAGCTTCCTTCAGAATTGGACATGTAGGTTTGGTAATCATTCATAGTCATTAAATCTCAATTTCCTCATCTCTAAAATAAGAGACTTGCCCCAATGGCTCTGACATGCTATCTGGCCCTCAGACTGTGAGTAGGTGATTTATCATGGTAAAGAATGTTTTTAGATAACATTTCAAGGCTCACTGTAGACTCACAGGATCTTAGAGTGAGAAAGGATGCCAAAGTTCATCTAATACCCCATGTAATTGAGCAGGAATCTCCTCTTCAACATTCCCAGAAAGTAGTCATACAACGTCCTCTTCAAGACCTCCATTTTAGAGGAAACTCTCTACTTACAGAGGCAGCTCATTCCACTTTTGGATGCTCTTTTAATGTTTCATTATACCTATCTGAGATCTGCCTCTCTACAACTTCCATCCGTTATACCTAGTTCTGCCCCTCATGCCATTCTCACATAACTGCCACTCAAATATTTGTAGCATTATGATACTTGCCCTTCCCCTCCATCAATTATATGTATATATATATATATATATATATATATATATATATATGTTATATAATATATGTATATGGTATATATACACACATACGTGCTTGTATGTATACACACACACACAAATCTTATCCTAGAGGTATGCAGGTGGTGCAGTGGACAAAGCACTGGAGTCAGGAAGACCTGAGTTCAAATCCAGCCTGAGATATTTACTAGCTGTGTGATCTTAGGTAAGTCACTTAACCTCTGTCTGCCTCAGTTTTATTATTGTAAAATGGGGATAATAATAACACCTACCTTCCAGGATTGTTGTGAGGATCAAATAAGATAATATTTGTAAATCACTGTGCAAGTCTTAAAATGTTATGTAAATGCTAGTAATTATTATTATTTGTAAAAATTATTAATTATTCATTGTTTCAGTCAATCTTCATATGATATGTTCGTTACTATCTTGGTCACCCTTGGAATGCAATCCAGCTTGTCATTATCCTTCCTAAAATGTCATGTGTATAAACTAAGCAAAAAGCTCCAAATGTAGGGGTAGCTAGGTGGTGCAGTGAATAGAGCACCTGCCCTGGAGTCAGGAGAACTTGAGTTCAAATCCTGCCTCAGACAGTTGATACTTACTAGCTTGTGACCCTGGGCAAGTCACTTAACCCCAATTGCCTAGCAAAAAAACAAAACAAAAAACCAAACAAACAGAAAAGCTCCAAATGTGACCTTGACAGTACTGCAGGACTATTACCTCTCTCATTCTGAATGTTATTTCTATTGATGATAAATAAATGACAAATGACTCTTTTCCTTGTGATCCCTGGTGCAGAACTTAATCAGTGTTGATTTGCTTATTGCTATGTGACATAATGGATATGACCTAATGTTAGGTCACTATTGGAATTTATTCCAAAGCTCTTGAGATAAAAAGGGCTTATTTTGACTTAATTCTATTTCTTTAGTGAAGTAAAATCTTTGGGAAGCATCAGCATTTGTTGATGGCTTTGCAGTTTTAAATATCCAGAGTAACATACAAACACAGACTAATAATAATTTAAGGAAGAAGTTTGATATTTCAAGAAAATTCTTCTGTAGTTATTCATAAAGCCATTTTTCCCCTCAGTATGCTGGCAGAGTTTTGAATATTTCTTAAAGACAATGCCATTATTTTACCAATTATTTTTAAAAAATCATTAATAAGCCCTGACTAGCCAGTCAATGTTCAAGTTATTATCACAAGCCAATATGTTAATTAAAAGAACTCTGAGAGAAGCTTGGGGTATTGTAATACCTTGCAGAGAAATGCCAGTGAAATGAAAGTGATTAAATATGTGGCACCATTTCAAAAAATTAATGTTTATATGGCATTCTAATCACATGCTAAACATGTGAGGATAGGCTTGTGTTCTTAATTCGTTTGAGCAAGATTTTGTTTGTATCATATGATTATTCATTGCTGGCATGAGTATGTCTCTAGTAGATCTTTTGAAATATTAGAATAAAACATATGCAAATGAAGAAAATAAAATATGTGTTGTTTTTTTAAATCAGGATCTCTTTCTTCAAAGCCAGATTGAAAACATAGTGAAATTATTTTCATGATCCTGGAGGAACACAATTATCTCTATGCTTTTCAAAATCCCCATAATGCCTAACACAATGTTACATAAATAAGGAACATTCAGTTCACAAAAATCACATTATGTGTGAGTTAGAAGCATTGAAGAAAAAACTATATAGTAGTGTACTCTTTACTGTAGTCAGAATACAAGCATTTTTTGATCAGAGGGAGAAATATCCAAACTGCCTAGTGCCTCCATGCCCTTGCATATAATGCCACACCAGACAATTTTGCAATATGATAAAACATCATTATATACTTGAGAGTAAGGTAAAGGTTAACATTTTTCTCCATTGAACAGAAAAGTAATCTCTTAATCTTTTGGTCATACCCTTGGAAAATCATTTTCGTAAAGCCACTCAATTCCTTTATGACTAATCCCTTCATGAGCTCTTCCTGGACAGCTGGTCACAGGTGACCTAAAGTAATTAAAGATCTCATTTCTTTTCTTTGGTGGATCATTATCCTCATGCCTTCAGAGTAGTGGGAAAGAGTCGACCCTTCTTAGATGAAT